CCCCAAAACCCCAAAACCCCAAAACCCCAAAACCCCTTAGAAGGATTTTAGTGTTGAAATTTTTTGGGAATTTTTGTGTTTGAGGTTCAAGCAGAAGAAAGCTGATTTTAGCTGGTTGGGTGGATTTTTAGGAATTTTAGGATGTAAAAATGGGGTTTTGGGGAGGATTTAGCTTGTTTTTGGAGATTTTAGAAGGCTTTGATCAATTTTTGTGAAAAAATAAGTTTTGTTATGGGTTGAAGGGAGTAAAAATCTACCCGAAAGTTACTTCTCGAACAAGTGGAGCAAAGGCTTGGTTCTGAAGTCTTAGTTGAAACAGAAAAGAGAGGGGTTTTGGGACAACTTTTAGGAAGACATGAAGTTTTGAGTTTAGGAAGGTAAATATTTTGGGGATGTTAGTGTGAGAATATATGTGGATAGGAGGTTTTGGGTGGGTATAGACATGGAGATTGGAGGAATTTAGTGTTTGGTTTGGGGGTTTTGGGGGATTTTGGGAAAGAAGAGGCTGTTTTGGGATTGAAAATTGAACCTCAGGGATCAAGAAAGCTATCTTGTAGGGTTCTTAATATTTACGCTCCTGTTTTAGGGGTGAAATATGATTAATTGGTCAGCAGTCAAAAATAAGAAGGTGTCCTTTAACTAAATATCTATTAACAGCTTATCTTAAGCAAATAATTTGTGTAAGACTATCTATATTCATTTTTCCTATAAAAATTCATAAACTTCTATTTCAGGTTATTTCTCATTTAATTACATTATAAAGGAGTTAGTTTGCAACCAATTTTCTTGTTAACAGCAGGAGGTTAATTCTGCATGCCAAAATTTAGCAGACTTGATAACATTAATGAACCCATTGCCTAATTAATAAGATGTTTAATTTGATAAAATGTGATATATAGAAGCAGAAGCAATGATGTTTTCTTATAAAGAATCATTTAATTTTTTTTCTTATTTTGAATGCCATCCTTAAGATGAAAAAATTTTCTCATCAATTGGTCGGACCTTCTAATGATTATTTTTCAGAGGCCTTTTATCGAGTATTTTTAGAAGTCGATAAAATAAATTATTTCCATGAAAATGTAGCAATACACTACTCATATTCTTGCGAGATTTCCATTATTTGAATGGGAAATGTTCCAAAAATTATTAAGAATTTTTTGAAATCTTGGAATGTAGTTGAATAAATATGGGTTGGGAAGATTTATTCGAGTGTAGGTCTAGAAAGTGGGGATATCAGGGTTTGTTATGAATTAAATATTAAGACAATATCGGATTACATTTAAGCCCCAAGAATTTATGATTCCATTCATATGCCTCGAAAATTGTATTAAAAGATATACCAAGTTTAAAAGTCTATTGGGCGTCTCATAATCACAATTCTATCAAGATTCTGAAAGAATTTTTTATTTATAATTACTGCTTTAACCCTTGTGAAATTTTAGGTAATTTTTTAACCAGTCTGTTCTGAATTTTAATAAGTCTGGCCCTTCTCACTTTCTCTCTACATCTTTTCTCAATTAATTTCTGAACATTTTGAATAGTGTTTACCATCTTAACACTTTGGCAAAGCTGGGCTTTCTCCCAGGAAGAAGTAGTAGGATCTTGATCCGTATTTATAGGGAGAAAGGAGCTCTTGTATAACTGTCTTTGAGGAGAAAAGGAGAATAACCTATCATCTCTGATATTCAGATGGCAATCTGTCCTTTCGTTTATTAGCCATATCAGCTTCTTTTCAACCTAAAAAATAAGTAAAAGTTAAATGAGTAATTTACCTTTTTATTATGATCTCGCTCTTTTTCAATGACCTTAGATGTAAGGAACCTCGAGTTTAACCGGAGATTTTTCCAGTCCTTTGGATAGAATTTAGTAGCATTACTATAAATGGACTGTAACCCGCTCATTTCTGGAAGAATCTTCGAGGGAGGGCTGAAGCATCTTCTTTTTCTCAATTTAATTGTTTTTACTATAAATCAGTTCAAAATTTCACTTTATTAAGTAAGGAAAGTTACAATAAAAATTGGTTGTAGACAATTGAAATTTCTTAAGAAAGATAGCAAAGGGGTTAAACCAAAAACAGAAGATTCTAGACGGTTTGGTTAAATTTTCCGAAAGAGTCTCGAAGCTCAGATCTCTCCGCTATGGCTACATCCCAGATCTGTTAACCATATTTTTATCCATTTTACCTGGACTACTCATTCTAATTAAAATCTATAATTGCAATCTTGGATAAAATTTAGGGGTTTTGGGGTTTTGGGGTTTTGGGG